CCCTCCGTGCAGGATAGGCTCAGCCCCCTGCCAGCCAGGACCCACAGCTAAGTTGTGGGTGCCCCAGCTAACTTGGGCCCTATGGGCTGGGGGGTCAGGTGCCGGCTGCTTGGGAAGGCACAGTTTTGGGGACCAGGAGCTCCAGCCACATGCTGAGCCCAGGGGGTTTGGGATCAGAGCCTCAGGAGCCTCGGCTGGGTCGGACCCGGGTCCCTGGTACGTGTCAGACTCCTTTGTCCACACCTGGCTGCAGGGCACAGCGACCGCGCCGCGGGGTCAGATGGCAGAGCCAGGCCAGCGCCCACAGGAGAGGCCTGAGCTGCTCCAGCCAGACGCAGCCCAGCTGGGGGAGCCGGCAGCAAGCCAGTGCCTCCCCAGACGCGCTCGTCAGGCCCGGCCCAGGGAGGAAGCCTACAGTGCCCCTAGTCCCATGTCGCGGGGTGGGTGGGGGTGCCCTCCTGGTCTCCCACTTCCTCCAGCCCAGCCTTTCCTTGTCCTGCCCCCTGCCCCCACGCACTGTATCATTCACCAAGGACCAGCCCAACTGGGTCCTGGATGGACAAGCCTGGCATGTAAAGGGCTCCTGGGGCAGCAGTGATGAGACCCAGGGCGGGTGTCGGGCATGGTGTGAGCCGGTCACTGTGCCACAACGGGCAGTTCCCAAGTGCCATGTCCCTGGCAGCTGCATTGTGGGGGGAGCGGCATGTGGACAGGGTGGTGCTGCCATGCAGCGCTGTCCCAGCATTTTGCAGGCAGTGAGGGGATCGCATGAGCTGCAGCGGGGGGCGCAGGGCTGGGCCAGAGCACAGGCTGCCCCTGAGGGGTTGGCTCTGGCTGTCAGAAGCCAAATCTTACATCACCCTTGAAGCTGGCATGAGGCCTTGAAGCCAGAGGGATGGGATGGGATGGGCTGTGCCGTGCCACGCGCAGTGGGGTAAAACCCCAAGGGGCTGGCGCTGGCCACAGGCTCCTGCTGCCACCTAAGCCCTGCATCTCTCCCCAGGCCAAAGGACCCTGCACCACCGGAGCGATTCCCTGGAGACCGTGATCCTGGTGAACCCCAATGTGGAGAGCGTTGTGTCAGAGGTGAGGCCGGGCACCGGTGGGCGGCAGGGCCAGTCTGCACTGGACAACCCATGCCATCCCGTGCTGATATTCCTGTGCTGCTGCTGGTGATGGGGATGGTGCTGGGCACGCCGGGGCGGAGGAGCATGCTCCCGGCGGCGGATCCTGCGCATTAACCCTTTAGGAACAGACTGAGTCTTCAGCTGGCAGCTCTGTGCCCAGACCACCCTCTTCCCCCAGCCTGACCTCCCAGCCAGCCTGCCTGGCCTCTGCTGTCTCCTGGCCCAAGAGAAGCTGGGAGCAGGGGCGGGGGGCTGGCTTGGAGGGGGGTTTCTGAGGCCTTGGGGAATTGTGCGCATAGTCCCCCCTAGCCTCCACACAGGCTCAGCCTGTACGGACAGGGAGGACCCAGCTGGGAGCTGAGCCAGGCCAGCCAGAGCACGTGCTGCCGCCTCGCAGGGGCTGGGCCTGGTGCGGGTGCAGGGCCCGGGGCGGCTCCACGGGGGTGACGGCGTTCTGCTTCCGGCAACAGGTGCGCTCGCTGGTGTGTGATCCGTCTGCCCACAAGCTGCTGATCCTGTGCGGGCAGAGCTCCGACCAGGAGGGAGACCTCATCCTGCAGGCCGGGACCTTCAGCTACCAGAGATTTGCCGAGATCCTTGAGGATCCGCAGGTGAGCGGGGAAGGGGCCTGGGGCCTGGCCCCAGCACAGACCGGGCAGGGCTGGAGCTTGTGTGGGGGCTGCATCCACCCCTGGTCAGGGGAGAGGTGACTCTGAATTGTATGCACACCAGGGCCCTGCCCACCCCAGGGCTCGGGCACCCAAACCCACCAGCTCACGCTTCCCAAAGCATCTGCTGACTTCCATGCTTCAGCTTTGGCATGACCAGAAAGCAGGGCAGGGATAACCTCATAGACTAACTCATTCAGAGGCCCTTGCTTTCTCAGGCTTCAGCTGCTTCATCTGGTGGTTTGCCAGAAGGCTACAAAAGCTCCTGCCTCTGAATGCACCAGTCTCTATGGTGCCATCCTGCCCTGCCTCCTGCCTGACAGCAGACTAGCAGAGCAACCATCTCTCTTCTGAGCGACACGTTGGGTCCCTGGGAGAGGCTGATTTCCAGACAGCAGTGTTGGTGCAGCTGGCGCCCCGCGCTCCTGCCCCGCAGCCTCTGCCCCTCACCCCCGACCTGACCCCACCTGCAGGTGCTGCCAGTGCCCCTCACTCTCTCCCTGCCCTGCAGCCCCTACCAGGCACTGCCAGTACCCTCCTGGGTGGGCCCATTGCCTGCAGCCTCAGGGGTTAGGTCGACCTGTTTATTCCTTTGGGACTGGCTGGGCCCTGGCCCTGCCCTGAGCTCACGGCACCCTGTCTCTCCCCACAGGTCACCCAGATTCTCAGCAACGCTGACCCCAGCAGCAAGGCCTCCCTCTCTGTGCTCTGCGTGGGAGAAGGCGACTGGAGCAACCTTGGGCAGCCACGGTTCCAGGAGCTCCTTCATCTGAGGCTGAACCCAGAGCCGGTCTTGCAGGAGATGGACGGGGTCTCTGAATTCGCTGAGTACGTGTCCGAGACCGTGGACGTACCATCGCCGTTTGACCTGCTGGAGCCCCCTACCTCTGGGGGCTTCCTGAAGCTTTCCAAGCCCTGCTGCTACATCTTCCCGGGTGGACGTGGTGACTCCGCGCTCTTTGCCGTCAATGGGTTTAACATCCTCGTGGACGGTGGCTCCGACAGGAAGTCCTGCTTCTGGAAGCTGGTGCGGCACCTGGACAGGATCGACTCCATCCTCCTGACCCACATCGGGGCTGACAACCTCCCAGGCATCAATGGGCTGCTGCAGAGGAAGGTGGCGGAACAGGAGGAGGAGCAGTCCCAGGGCTCCACCAACTACAGCGACTGGATGAAGAACCTCATCTCACCGGAGCTCGGAGTGGTTTTCTTCAATGTCCCTGAGAAGCTCAAGATGCCCGAGTCGTCCGTGAAGGTGAAGAGGAGCATCGAGGAGGCCTGCCTGACGCTGCAGTACCTGAGCAAACTGGGCATCAAGGCAGAGCCCCTCTACCGCGTGGTCAGCAGCACCATCGAGCCCATCACTCTGTTCCACAAGATGGGCGTGGGCAAGCTGGACATGTATGTGCTGAACCCTGTCAAGGACAGCAAGGAGATGCAGTTCCTCATGCAGAAGTGGGCAGGGAACAGCAAGGCGAAGACCGGCATCATCCTGGCCAACGGGAAGGAGGGAGAGATCTCCGTGCCTTACCTGACATCCATCACAGCCCTGGTGGTGTGGCTGCCCGCGAGCCCCACAGAAAAAATCGTCAGGGTCCTCTTTCCTGGAAACGCTCCCCAAAACAAAATCCTGGAAGGTCTTGAGAAGCTAAAGCACCTGGACTTCCTGAGGTACCCGGTTGCCACTCAGAAGGACATCTCCTCTGGCATGCCACCGCCAGCGCTGAAGCAGACCAAGATCAAGCAAAGAACGGACAGCAAAGAGAGCCTGAAATCCTCCCCTAAACCAGCTGCAGTGAAGCAAGTCAGGAAGGAAGAGGTGGTAGAGGAGGGGGCCAAGGACATGAAGCCAGAGGTGGTGAAGGAGGCCAAGCCTGAGAAGAAAGCAAAAGAGCACACAGAGAAGGGACCAGAGAAACCTGCAAAGCCAGAGAAGATCAAGACAGAGTCAAGCGATGCCCTCAGAGCCGAGAAGAGGAAACTGGCCAAGGACAAGGTGGGCAAGAAGCACCTCAAGGAGAAGGTTTCTAAGCTGGAGGAGAAGAAGGACAAAGAGAAGAAGGAGATTAAGAAAGAGAAAAAGGACTTGAAAAAAGAGGAGGGAAAGAAAGAGGAAAAGAAAGATTCCAAGAAGGAAGAGAAGAAGAAGGAGGCCAAACCAGAGCCAAAGAAGGTGCCTAAGCCGGACCTGAAGCCATTTACCCCAGAAGTGCGGAAAACACTGTACAAGGCCAAAGTCCCCGGCAGAGTCAAGGCAGAGAAGATCAAGGTCAAGCCAGAGAAGGAAGCGACTGTGGAGCAAAGGTTGCCCGTGCAGAAGGCGCTGGCTCAGCTGGGGCCAGTGGGGACTGATGTGGCCAAGCAGAGGCTGGTCCTGTCCTCGCCCGAGGACCTCACCAAGGACTTTGAGGAGCTGAAGCAGGAAGAGACGGGGGAGGAGCAGCCAGCCCAGCCCATGCCTGATGCCGGTGCTTCCCTGAGGGGCCCGGGGCCAGCCGTGCTGACCTGCCTTGGAGAAGGGCTGGCTATCTCAAAACAGGCAATTCCCTTGGATGCTGCGGATGAGAGAATCCCCACGACGGATGGGGAAGGAGACTTGCCAGGGGAGGAGAAGCCAGTCCCTGGACTGGGTCTAGGGCTCGGACAGGCCACAAGGTCTGAGGGTGAAGGAGCGGCCGTGGAGGAGCCTCATGAAATAGCAGAGCTGGGAGAGGAAGCCAAGACGCTCCTGAGTGCCCAGTTCCTCCCAGAGGTTCCTGGCAAAGGGGCAAGAGAGGAGCAAGCCTTGGCACCAGCACCGGCACACCACCAGCCAGCATCTGGAGACGTGCGGGCTCCAAGCCGCATGGAGGAAGAGAGGGAGGAAGAGCAGCACATCTCCCTGGACACGCAGCAGAGGCAGGCAGACACCAAGGCATTGCAGGGGCCAGAGGCAGGCGATGGGACTGAGATGGAAAGGAGAGAGGATGTGATAGAAAAGGCAGAGCTGGAAGAGATGGAAGAGCAGCACATGCAGGCCGAAGGGGTGACACGGGGCAAAGACTTGTATCAGCTGCCGCGGGGTGGGAAGGAGGACACGAGACCCTCGGTCACAGAGGACCAGGGCAGGAGGAGCCCGTTCCCGGAGAGAGAGGGGGTAAAGGAGGCGGCGCTCGTGAGCAGCCTGCCTGCACCGCCAGGCGCCACAGCGGAGCACGTCTCCTACATCCAGGATGAGACCATCCCCGGCTACTCAGAGACAGAGCAGACCATCTCGGATGAGGAGATCCACGATGAGCAGGAGGAGCGGATCCCGCACCTGAAGTACGATGTCAGTGCCTACGACATCTCCGTGCCCGATCGCCCGGGCTCCTTTGAAGCTGTCCATGGCATCCCAGCCATGCCCGTGCCCGATGTGGCGGCCAAGGGCTATGCCGGGCAGGAAGCTGAGATCCTGGCATACCCCACCAACATCGTGGCGGCCCCGCTGGCAGAAGAGGAGCACGTCTCCTCCGCCACATCCATCACCGAGTGCGACAAGCTCTCCTCCTTCGCCACGTCTGTTGCAGAAGACCAGTCGGTCGCCTCCATCACGGCGCCACAGACTGAGGAGACGGGCAAGAGCTCCCTGCTCCTGGACACAGTGAACAGCATGCCCTCCTCCCGCACGGAGGCCACCCAGGGCCTGGATTACGTGCCCTCCGCCGGCACCATCTCACCGACCTCCTCCCTGGAGGAGGACAAGTGCTTCAAGTCTCCCCCGCCAGAAGACTTCCAGGCCCTGGCAGAAGCAGAGAGAAGGTTTGGGGCCCAGAAGAAGGGCCAGCATGAGGAGGCAGAGGAGGAGGAGGACGAGGAGGAGGATGGGACCCCCAACATCGAGGTGCCCGGGCAGCTCCATGGGCACTATGGGGCCCCACTGTTCACGCCACAGGAACGCGGTACCGATGTCCCCACTGACGCCCCCCTGGAAGCGCCACAGACGCCTGTGCTGCCTCTGCCCGCTGAGGAAGCAAGGCTGTCCCAGCTGGACTCAGGCTCTGTGGAAGCTGAGGAGCGATGCATGAGCCCTGACGACAGCACCGTCAAGATGGCATCACCAACGCAGTCCGGCCCTACGAGCGCCGGGCACACACCCTTCCACCAGTCCCCAGTGGAGGAGAAGCTGGACGCTGTGGAAGCAGAGCTCTTTGAGAAGGGAGCAGATGTGGCTGTAAAGGAGGAAGAGGAGCTGGCCTCCTGCACGGGAGAAGGGGCTGCGCACACGTTTGAGCCACTGAGAGATGAGGCAGCTGCCGCTCAGCGCGCCCCCGGGCAGGGGCAGCCGGCGGTTCTGCAGGATGAGCTGGATGAGGAGAGTGACGTGGCACTGCCGGCGGAGTCTGCGTCTCCCACAGACAAACCAGAGGAGCTGCCTGTGGCCAGGGAAGAGCTGCCTTGGCTCTCGTACCACAAGCAGGAGACGCTTGTGATCGGGGACGAGGATGACCTCCCCGAGCCACCCACCCCCAGCACAGACGCACTCCCGGAGCCAGGCAGGGAGATGGAGTTTGAAGACGATTCGCTCAAATTCGCAAAATACACAGACTCGGGGCCGGCTGCCTCCCAAGGACTCTCTCCGGAAACCGCGGCAGCGCCCCACATCCCAGAGCAGAGCAGCCTTGAGAGTGCCAAATCCCCCCAGGTTTCCATTCGAGAGACTTCCCCAGATGACACTAAATCCCTGTCTTTTACTGAAGGGAGCCCCAGTAAAGAGAAATCTCCAGATATTTCTATTAAAGAAATGTCTCCAGGAGACGGAAAACTGTCGTCTTTCTCGGGAGACAGCTTAGAAAAAGATAAATCTCCCCCAGTTTCCATTAAAGACATTTCTCCAGAAGACACCAAATCGATTTCTCTCACAGAAGAGAGTCCTGGCAAGGTGCCGTCTCCAGACATTTTCCTTCGAGAAACCTCTCCAGAAGACACTACATCTCTTGCCGTCGCAGCAGAGAGCGCCGCTGAAGAACAAATTGTAGACATACCAATGACAGAGTCGTTTCCAGATGCTGCCAGAGCCTCACCCCTCGTGGGACAGAGCCCAGCCGGAAGTGACAAACCACTGGAAACTTGTGACACAGACATCCTTAAACAAGAGCCCAAATCCCCTCCTCTCCTGGGACAGCGCCCTGGGAAGGATACCTCGGCCGCAGACGGTTCCTCTGCCGAAATCTCTCCAGACGATGCCAGGTTGTTTTCTTTAAGAGATAAGAGCCCAGTCAGGGCCGAATCCTCAGGGCTCGCCTCTCACGATACCTCTCCTGATGTGAAGGTCTTGGGCATTGCAGAGCCCAGCCCCACTCAGGGTAGAGAGGCCCTGGGTATCTTCTCAGAAGATGTGAGATCCTACCACTTCCCGGAAGAGAGAGAAGCTGAAGAAGAGAGATCCCCAGAAATGGAAGACCTCTATTTGAAAGAGGTGAGTTATGAGAGGAAGGTGTGGTTTCCAGAGGTGCTGCAAGGGGGACCGCGCAAGCACAAGTACGAGGAGGAACGCGAGAGCACTTTCTTAGATGAGGGTCCAGACTATGAAAGACCACCTCCGCCTGGGACCGAGGAGGAAAAGACCCATCAGCCCGTGGCACCAGCACGTGGCGCATTGGGAGACGCAGAGCAGGCCCTTTGGGACTCTGACCATGGACATTTCCAGGAACAAACGGACTTGGGGAAAGCAGAGCTGTTTCTGAAGAAGGAAAAAGATTTCTGGTGCACGGAAGATGACAGACCAGCGCCACCGAGAGCCGACGTGGAGCCTTTCAGCGTGGACTCAGACCTGGCGCTGAGGGAGGCCAAATGCCTCTCGCTGGAAGCAGCACAAGTGGAAATGGCCCCTGCTGTGGTTGCGTTCCCTGAAAAATCGGGAGCAGCGGGTGCACCCGCATCACCCCAGCCGGTCTCTGTGGAGGAGAGCCAGGCCAAGCCAGCAAGCACAGCCCAAGGCAGGGAAGACTCATGGCTCACAGCCAAAGCAGACTACTCCTACCTGGACGAGGAGGAGAGAGCAGTCCTGGACCTGTACGCGAAGTCGCTGGACCGAGCCCTGACGGGCTCCCCGCTGCCTGCCACGTCCTGTGCGAGCACAGCCACCCCCGAGCCAGAGGAGCTGCCCGTGACCAGGCAGAGCACCTCCGCTGCGCAGGCCAGTGTCCCTACAGGGGCCACCGAGGCTGATGCTCTGCCCCGGGAAGTGCCCGAGTCCACGTGGCTGCCAGCTGCGCAGCAAGACGCCGACGGCACCTCTGCTGCCGCTCGCGACCTGGAAGGAAGCAAAGAGCAGAAGGCGGCAGCGTCACCGGGCCCAGCGGATGGAGCCGCTTCGCCTCTGGGAAGTGCGGCAGAGACGGGCGAGCCCAGGCTGCCCCTCTCTGGGCAGGAACCTCCCAGAGGAAGGGGCGACGTTGTCGGCCATGCTGAGGACACACTCTCCTTCAGCCAGGTGGACTACCATCCTGTGGCCTCTCCCAGCCCTTCGGGACCCTTTTCTCTGGAGAAAGAGGCCTTTGAGTCCAGAGGAGACGACGGCACCAAGAGGCCAGAGCAGGAGGAAAGGGAGCCAACGCCGTATCCGGATGAGAGGACCTTCCACTATGCAGACGTCTATGAGAAGGTGGTGGTGTCTGGCATGGGGCTGCCCAGCTTTGGGCGCCTGGATAAGGACAGGCCAGAGCCCGCATTTGCAGCCTTGGTGACCAAAAAACCAGCAGGCCCTCAGGGGGAGCTGCCGATCCACATCTCTGCCAAGGAGGAGGAGTCGTGCCTGTACACCCCTGCTGAGAAGGAGCTGTCTTCTCCCACCTCCCCCCGGGACAGAGGGGACTCCTCGTTTGAGTACACGGATGTGCACGAGCGGCGCTCCCCCCTGCCTGAGGCGGATAAGCCCAGAGATGCACCAGGAGGCCTGGGTGAGCTGGCCTGGGCGACGGCCAGGCTGGACAGACCAGACTCTGCGCCGTGCCCACCCTCTCCAGGGGGCCGTGCGCCTGCCCCACCGCCAGACCTCCTCCACGCCCTGTGCCACGAGAAGCCCACCACACACGCAGCTCCCTGCGATGACAACATCCTCTCCCTGCACCGGGAGCAGCATGCGCCGTCCCCGAAGGAGCCGCTGACCAAAGACGTCTACTACGAGAAAGCGGGGAGGGGGGAGGAGAGCGCCAGTGACTCCGAGCTGGAGAAGGGAGCCAAGGAGTGCTCCGAGAAGGAGTCCCGGCTGCCCAGCCCCCCTCGCATCCCTGACACGGCCGGCGGGAAGGACGTCTATGCTGACATCCCGGCGATGGAGAAGGCCCAGGCGCCAGGTGACCGGGACCAGGCGTCTGCCTCACCAGCGTCGTCTGCCTCCTCACCCTGTGACTCCCTACAGAGTGACGAGCGCTGGCCTGGGCAGCCAGTTGCCACCGCGGAGCCCCACGCCATGGGGTATGGCCCTCTGCCAGGCCCGGGCAGGGACGGCTGGGCACCACGCGTGTCCTGCTCCGGCCAGGTGTCTCCGCAGCAGAGAGAGGGTGCAGGAGTGCCCCGCAGGGAGCCCCCCTTTCCTGCCACGCACTTGTCCAGGGTGGAGTTGGCATTTGAGGGCTATGGCAAAGATGCCTGCCTGAAGCCAGCTGCTTCAGGGGAGCAGGAGGAAGAGGAGGAGGAGGATGTGGCCTTGCCCCTGCAGAGCAAAGGGGCTGATTTCTCATCCTCTGGATTTGGGTTTTCCTCAGCACAAAAGCCCGAGCCATGCGGCGCGCTGGGACGTGAGGTGTCGCCTGCGAGCTGCAGGGTGGACATGCCTCTCGCCCTGAGCCTCCCCAGTGCTTCGTCCCACGACCAGGAGCAGAGCCACGAGTACCTGGAGGTCTCCAAGGCTGCCCTCAGCTTGGAGTCCTCCCTCACCAGGTTTTCACCCCTGAGCCCGTGCGAGGACAACCAGCCACTCCCCGGGTCTGCGGCCGGAGGGGTGGCCTCCCTGCAGCAGCCCCGCGATGACTCCCCCAGCTGCTCCGAGGACGCCTCCTCGGAGGCCACCACACCGGTGATACACGCGGCCACCGAAGGCTTCTACTCCCATGTGCTGTCTGGCTACGCTGGCACGGCCACGGACCCTGACCGCAGGAGCCTGTGGGATGTGTCCCCACTGCTGCCAGCAGACTCCTCCAAGACCCAGTTGATGGGCAGCCAGGAGCTGGCTGCAGCCGAGGAGCGGGGCCCTCCCTCCCCATGCGACATGGATGACAGCACGCTGCCGTGCCGTGTCGAGTGCCTTGGAGTGGACGCGCGGGGGTCGCACCGCACCACCAGCCCAGGGCAGCAGTCACCCTTCACGGACCAGCTCGCGGCCGTGACCTCACTGCCGGACGTGCTGACGTCATTCCCTCCTCCTCGGCCGGGAGACGCCGCCACAGCCAACGGTCCCACCGAGGTGAGCACGAGCCCCCAGGCCTTCCACAGTGTGCCACCCCCTGCCGAGGTGCTGCGGCATCCTGAGGCCAGTGGAAGCCTGTCCCCGTGCTCGGGGGATGAGGACAGGGAGCGGCAGAGCCGTCCATCCTCGCTGACGTCCCCAGAGCACAGTTTCCAGCCCTTCTTCCCAGACGCACAGAGGGGCGGCAGGACGGGGGACCACGGTGACGCCTCCCACGAGATGGAGCCGCGGCTGAGCGCCGGCTCCGACTACGGGCAGAAGTTCTCGGTGTGTGAGTACAAGCAGAGGAAGGGCGAGCTGTCCCCCTCGTTCATCAACCCCAGCCCGCACGACCTCTCCGAGGACAGTGACCTGTCACAGGATGAGGGGCACCCCTCTGTGAAGGGGAGGCCACATCACCCCACCGGGAGCCAGGGACAGGCCCCCATGGTGGAGGAGACCCCACCCACCTCAGTGAGTGACTCCGGGACCTCCCAGTCCGACTCCGATGTCCCCCCCGAGACTGAGGAGTGTCCGTCTATCACGGCCGATGCAGCCATGGACTCGGATGAGGATGCAGATTTCCTCCCAGTAGACAAGACCGTGGGCACATCTCACCATGCCAGCACGCGGCCCAGCCACGACCCCCAGCCGGCCCCTATGGTGGATCCTCACCCGCACCCCCCACACCCAGACGTCTGCATGGTGGACCCGGAAATGCTGGTCATGGAGCAGAACATGACCAGAGCTGACAAGCTCGCCAAGAAGGACCTGAAGGAGAAGAGCAAAGGCACGAGAAAGCCCTTGAGCAAGCCGAAGCCATCCTCGCCTGCCCGCAAGCTTGAGGCCAAAGGAAAGCGATCGCCCACGCCTGTGAAGCAGCCTGCAGACCGGTCCCCAAAGGCTGCCACAGCAAAGAAGGAGAAGGAGGGAGGGGAGAAGCCGTCCAAGGCACGTAGCCCCCTCGCGCAGCCCTCGCACACGGACGAGAAGGACGAGGTGTCCCGCAGCAGCCACAGCAACCCGGGCAAGGGCCTCGTGAACGGCCTCAAAACCAACCCTGGTAAGACGCCCCTTGGGAACATGCTTGTGGCCACACGGCAACCACAGCCATACCCCAGCGCTTGCTACACAGCCTCCGTGGTGCTGGTGGCTAGGGCGCGGGGAGGCTGCAGCAGGCCGAGCCCAAAGGGCTGGCAGCAGTTGGGGAGCCAAACACCCCTACACGCAGGGCAGGGGGAGCCAGGGCCCTGGCTTGGGCTAGGGATCTGAACCCTTGGGTCTGGGGCTGTGATGTACGCAGGAGTCTCCCGTGGGCTGGTCAGCACTCAGGCTTTGCTCTTGGGGCTGAGACGGGACTGGGTGTTGACTTAATTTTTGTGCTTTGCGGTGCGCAGGCCTCCCCTGAAGGCTCAGGGCAGCTGCGCTGAAAACCAGACAAACCAGTGAGCAGCATGGCAGGGCTCCAGATGCAGCACGGCTGCCAGGAGCCTGCCCAAGCTACATGGTCTGGCCACACTGCCGGCAGAGCACCAGGCCCCAGGTTTGGGCTCATGTGGAAGGGATGTGAGAGGAGGGGGGTGCTTTCTTCTGGACCAGCACGTGCAGTCAGCTGGTGCGTCCCCCGAGCACCACGTTTGTGGCGCCCTGGCCAGCAGGACATGCTGGCCTGGACCCTCGTGGGGTTCCTCTTCCCAGCCAGGAAGGGCTGCTGTATGGTGCTACCCAGGCTGCTCCCCTGCCCCTTCTCCCAGGTCTGGGGCATGAGATGGGAATGCACCCTCCATGGTTCCCAGCAGTGGCATGCCTGTGCTGTGTGGCGGGTGCAGAGATCCCACCTCAGGAACACAACTGGGTATTCATATCCCTCCACTGTTTCCACCACGTGAGGTGGGCCAGTAGGGGGTGCTCCTGCGTTGAGCCACCCACCTCCCTGCGCCCGACCACCTTCCAGGCTCCGAATGCCTCCCTAGGGGCGCCTTATGTCCGGCCGACCCCTCTCCCGGAGCACACTCGCTAGTCTGGGGGTAACGTGCCGCCACCACCCCAAGAATGGACTGTCTCGCGGCCCTGTGTCCTTGGGGTAACACAGGCCTAAAGTCCCACGGGTACTCAACCCAGTACAGGCACTTGGGGTACTTCCCCAAGTCCAGGGGCAAAAAGGTATAGTCTCCCTTAGTCCACAGACCTAAGGGGTCTCTTAGGCATAATTTAGACCCACCCCTCAATAAGTCTCCCACACCAGTCAAAAAGGAGAACTTTATTGATTACAGGGGGTAGGGTAAACTAGGGTACAGGATAGAGCAATATCTAGAAATCCTAAAGAGCAAACAGTCTGGCTGTGGTAGCCTTTTGATTACGCATCTGTGATACTTCCAGCTAAATATCTAATCAGATTGAGTAGCTTACTCACAAGCATCTTCCAAAGGCAGGTGAAGTTTCCCTTTGGAGGCAGGCGGTTCCTAGCTCGTGAGTTTGGGGGGAGAGAGCCAGTTTCAGATGTTAAGGCTTCTCTGTCCCCTGCCTGGCTGCTGCGTCACCTCATGGCCGGAGAGGAGAGACCGCCTCCTTCCCCGTCCTAACTTATATAGCCCCTGTGACCTCATTCACCTGGGCCAGCGGAGGTCAGCCCCTGTTGGCTGTCAGCCAACCAATCTGAAATGCATCACCTGTTACCGGGCAGATCCCAGCTCCCCAGGTAGAAACCCCTTACCCAGGTAAGTGATGCAAGTCACGTAGGCAGAGGGAGCAGGTTTCCCCCCTCCCTCAAAAATGCAGCCAGCTCCAGTTCCCTAAAGAGACAGGCTGAGGGTGTGGTCCCCTGTGTGCTGGGCCCATCCTGATTGAATGGTCACAGCACAGAGATTTAAATCACAGTGTCACAGGGCAGAGATTTTTGGGGAGAAACCAAGGTGGCTTTCTGCCACATGCTGCGTGCCTGCCTGGAGGCCAAGGGCTGGGATGACTTGTAGTTTGAGCCACAAGAAGCCCCTGCCTCAGCCTGGTCCATGCTGGCACTGCCCAGCCCCACACGCAGAGGTCTCCCACCCCTGCCCCTGAGGTTGTGCTGCAAGCCTGAGACGAGACAGGCAGTGGCAGCAAGTGATGAGCACATGGGGACCAGGGGCAGGTGCAGGCTTGCAGGCAGTGCCGGCTGCGGCCCCTCCTGGCCCGTGACTCCACCAGGGACCTTCAGCCTCTGGTTTCTCTTTTCCAAAGTTTCCAGCAGCCCCAAGAGCAGCTTGTCGGTGCCCCCAGGCCCACCCGTATACGTGGACCTGGCCTATGTCCCCAACCACTGCAGTGGGAAGAACACAGACCTGGAGTTCTTCAAGCGCGTCCGATCCTCGTACTACGTTGTGAGTGGGAACGACCCAGCCAACGGGGAGCCCAGCCGGGCCGTGCTGGATGCGCTGCTGGAGGGGAAGGCCCAGTGGGGCGAGAACCTGCAGGTGAGTCCCTATGAGGCCAGGCCAGGGGCGCTGCTCACACTGTGGGGCTCCGGGGGGCACGTGCCTCTCCGAGTTTGTCTAATGCAAGCAGCACTGGTCAGAGGGGCCTGGGGCTTCGCACCACGTGGTCCGAGCAGCAGTACCAGCCCCTCATCCTGTCACCAGCAGTGCAGGCCAAGGGCAGCGGAGGTGGACAGTGACGTGGACAGCTCCCCTCTCTCCTGCACCTGCACAGTGCTGTGAACCCAGGTGCAGGCGGCAGCACATTCTGCCTTGCTACCTTCTTCCTGAGCCAGCGCTTGAGCCCATCCAGGAGCTGAGGTTGCCTGCTCCTTTCCTACCAGTCAGCGCCGTCCTCAGCCCAGCTCAACCCGGCCGCTTTTGCTCACAGATGGTGCTGTGCATTGTTACTTGTACTGCAGCGCAGACGGGCCTCGCCTGGGCCAGGCCTGGCTGCGCAGGGCACTACAAAGGAGCAAAGACCGCCCGGCAGTGTGCGGGGCTGGGCGAAGCAGCCTGGCCGGGGCCAGGGCCAGGGCCAGGGCCAGGGCCAGGGAGGAGGAGGGCAGTTGCGGCCATGGGGCACTCGGGGTGTGCCAGGGCCTGCTGATGCCACCAGTTGGGTGCAGGGCCATCAGTTGCCTCTTCTGTCCCTCCAGGTAACCCTGATCCCAACACATGACACAGAGGTGACACGGGAGTGGTACCAGCAGACCCATGAGAAGCAGCAGGAGCTGAACATCATGGTGTTGGCCAGCAGCAGCACCGTGGTGATGCAGGACGAGTCCTTCCCCGCCTGCAAGATCGAGTTCTAGCTGCCCGGTCACGCCACGCTCATCCATCGCCCCGTCTCCATCGCCGCACTCAGACACCGCCTGCCGCCCAGCCCTACCGGCGCCGTCCCTGCGTGGTCCTGTGGACCGGGAGAGTGGGCACCTGCACAGCGTGGTGCTGGGGCTCTGCGTGAGGAGCACGGGCTCTGCCCAGCCTGGGCTGAGGTGCACTGTGCCGGGGCAGGAGGAGGCCGGGGCACCTTCCCCTCCTGGGTGGATTTTGCTGCCTGTACAGTCGCTGTAGAATAACGTGGCTGCCTTCATGCTGCAAGTGCTTTCCTCGCCCACATCCTCGCCACCCCACCCTGCGCCACCCTGCCCTGGGGTCACGGCACTGGCTTCTTCCCCCCCACCTTGGCCTGCCATGAGGCTGCAGCATGAGGACAGGCAGGAGGGCAGCTGTGGGCTGAGAACTGTCCGATGCAGAACAGGTGGAGCGAGGAGATGGTGACGGCCAGTGACGCCCTGCAGCTGCCAGCAAGGTCCAGGACAGCCTGACACGCGGGCGCTCCACCACCTCCCGGGGCATTGGGACATGAACCCTTGGCCCTGGTGGGCTTGGCCTGGGCTCTGGACCCACAGGCTCTACCCGAGCTGCTGCATGCGGCCGATTCCCTCCCTCCCTCCCTGCAGCTGCGGTGCTGCGGGACGACTGAGCCGGCATTGGCACAAAGTGTATGCTGCTGCCCCGCTGTCCTGAGCTTGCGGCGCGGTGGGGCAGGCAGGGCTGGATGGTGCTGTCCCCCGGCCTCCAGACGCACAAACCCCAGTGTCCGCAGCCACAGGCCTTGCAGGGGTGGGAGATGAGCCAGGGAGCGGGCAGGCCACGCGTGGGGAGGCAGGGGGGGCTGCATCTCCTGAAGGAAGGCTCTGGCTACCACCCGCCGGTCATGGTGCTGCTGGGGCTGGCACCGGTCTCGCAGGGGCAGCAGAGCCCTGACCAGGCAGCAGCCCCCTCCCCCCCAGCTGCAGGGGGTGAGGGGTGGGCGGCAGTGACTCCCCCAGCCCCGGCCACTGGGAAACACCACCCAACCCCACTGGGGTCAAGGGCAGGTAGAGTCAGGCTGCGCTTGCCCCCCAGCTCATGCTCTTGCCATGGTGCCATGGGCCTGCCACTGCCCTGTGTGGTCACAGGCACCACTGCCCTCCAAGGGGCAGGGCCACGCCACTCCCTCCAGGGGCCCATGCCCTGCGCAGGGCGTGGGCGGATGAGGGGGGCCGAGCACTGGCAGGAGGGTGCCCACATGGCCCAGGACGGAGGGGGCAGAATATGGCTAAGTTGGTCCGCCGGGCCGTACCCCTGCTACTGTCCCAGCCAACCCCCTTGCCTGCATCCTGCTGCCGTGGCGCCCGGCCCTGCCAGGACAGAAGTGCATCTGGGATGGTTTAGTTTGCTGCCTAAATTATGTATTTATTTTGGTTTTTGGCTGCATTCCACACAGCTGTGACACGTTCATGTATGTGCTGCTGCGGTGCTTGCAGGGGCGTTGGCATGGCCACCCAGATGCAGCCATGATGGTGGCATGGCCACAGGGGCTGGGCCACGTATGTGCGGGCAGCCCGGGGCCATTGCATGCTGCCTGCAGGGGCAGGGCCGTGGCTGGCAGCCTGGCGCCCCAGCAGTGTCACGGGCGGTTCTTTGTCGGTCCTCTGTCCAGAGCGCGTTGGCCGGGAGAGCCTGTTTTTGTTCTCTATAAGCTGATTGGGTCAGTACATACGAATGTCAGTTATGGTAGCCGATCACAGGCCGGCAGTGACATGCCCACTCCCCCTGTCACCACTGGCCTCCATGCTTCCCTTGGGCTTTCGCTGGTGTCCTTCACCGAGTCCTTCCGTCCCCCGTCCGTCCACCCACAGCCTGTGATTGGCTGGCCGCTGCCCCAGGTGCCTGGACACAGGCCCAGCCACGCTGGGGCCAGAGGGGCGCGCCCCCTCCTCCCTGACCCCGTGTCCCCCCGCTGCGTGCCTAGGCAGAAGCGCTAATGCACTAACTCTAGAGCGACCCACGGATGAATGTTTCTCAACCTCAAACTTGAAGCACTGAGGGGGGAGGGTGCGGGGCACCGGCAGCCTCCAGGACGTGCGCTCGCGTGGAGCGTCCCTGGCCTCGCACCAGCCCCAGGACCCCGTCCCACTTTTGTAGTTTTGTAGCCAGCTGCCCTGCCTTCAGCTGCCCCTCGCCCCCAGGGTCCAGGATGCTGCCCCTGCCCTGCTCTGGCCTGGCCGCGGCAGCAGGCAGAGGTGCCCCGGCCCAGCCCCTGGCCTGCCGTGACACTGCAGTAGGGAGAACATGTAAGCTGCGCTTCTGCTTGTTCTGCATGTGGACGCCCACGCGTCACGCTCCGTGTCATAGGAACCAAACACTTAAACTAACAACCCAAGTGACCGCGTCTTAACTGTATTGAACGGGCGACTCGCGCGCCCAGCTCCTCGCTGCTGAATGTTGTCCGCGCAGCGCCCGGGCTCCTCTGCATCGCACCACCCGGACTCCGGCTCCTCCTCGCCATCGCCATCCGCACACCTGTAACTAGCGCCTGTCAAGGGAGGAGCTGCCCCATTAATAATAAAGACACATTAACTGCGACAGCGACGTCTCGGCCTTTTGTGAGCGGGTCCCTGGGCACGCTTCTGGCCCGGTCCTTCATCACCCCAGCAGGCAGGACCATGGCAGGCCGCGGGGTGAGGCTCACCGGCTGCGGCCACAGCCCCTGCACTGGGGCCAAGCAGGAGGCTGATCCCCGCAGCACGCTGCCGACCCCTCCCGGGGGCCGCCTCTGTGCTCAGAGGGCGACAGCGGCTTTGGGCTGGTGTGGATGAGGCCGCTGCAGCCTTGCGGCCTAGCCCCATAGGCCTAGGCTCTGCAGCCGGTCCCATTCGGGTCTCAGCGCCAGGCCCGAGCTCCTGCCACGGGGGCCCAGACGTCCGTGGGCAGCGGCCTGGCACCGCCTGCACACCCTGCCTCCTGGGCCGTGGCGCCCGAAGCGGAGGGTGGGGGCACGCGGATGCCGCTGGCGCGAGCTGGAGGCCCCGGGCAGGGCCACACTGCGAGGTCCGGGGAGGGACGCCCTGCCCCTTGCTCCCGCGCCTG